AGTTCCATCTCCCACAAACCAGAAGAGTAGGCAACCGTTTTCCCGATGTGACACCTGTTTCGGCGTCGACTCTGGTGGCTCCCCGTCCCTGATGACCTCGTGGTGGTCGGTGGGCGAGGGCCGCCGGGATCCTCACGGGAACATATACAGCAGTATGCCTTAGGTGTAGGTTTAGTAGCTAGTGTTTCTTCGTTTGTCATATCAGCTCGGGCGATTACGAAGGCGACTATGAATAATCTCCTCTGATCTTCTCCCTCTACGGTGGTCTTCTCCATTGGTGGTGATGGATCGAGGAGTTTCTGCTTTTGTCACCTGGCTTCTCTTGGATCTTGGTGGGTGATTTGGTCTTCTCGACGGTGGCCTTGAGGTAACAACAATGGCAACACCGTGGAATAAATTTTCTCGGGTCTGCTCTTTCCCTGGTGATGCCTACTCTGCCTTTGCTAGTGTCCGGACGAGATGGGTTTAGGAATCTGTCGGCACAACTACTCCATCAGGTTGTGGTGGTGTCCATGTTCGTAAAGCTGCTTCAGCAATGGCGTTTTCTCTGTCCTAGGTTCAATGGATGCTCACTTCATTTTCTTCCAATAGTCGCCCTGGCGATGACTGTGAAGGGTGGTGGGCAATGATATGGCTATGCACGGATGCCCTAATGAATTCAAGTTACCTTTGATTTTCTTAGGGTTCTCTGTATAATTGTCCCTAGACATGTGTCTTGTCAGGACGTTTCTTTTCATTTATGTGTAATGGTGGTTGGACGTTTATTTTCTCTATTATATATACTAACAGAACGCCCGTGCGTTGCTATGGGCTATCCATCATGTTATCTGTAACATCGAGTCTGACACAAAAACCCCATCCCGCGATGCATCTTTCTTTTTTCTATTGGAACCTCCTCTTCCTGCTTGGTTTCCCGCCATAGCGGGACATCTCTCGCCGGAGTCACCTCCTGTAAAATCAGATGACGTCCACCTCATCTTCGTCATGCATAGCAACAGGGATGAAAATTTTCATGTTTACAATATAATAGAGTGGGTTAAACTAAGTTATACTATTGGCACAAACAACAAATAATTATAGAGAACATTCTCAAAGGTTCATTCAACTTTGCAAATGCATATTGACGTTGAAGGCGAGTGGCAACATGAACGTATTCCTAGTCACCAATACGCTCCACCTCCATCGCACATATGCTAGAAAGGATAATTGTTGTTCTTCTCTTCCTCGTCCTCCCCCCACATCTTCTACTCTTAACCTCTTCGCCAAGACGTTTCATTAGCGCCATCCAGCACCAGGTCAACATTAGTGTGTTTGTCATTGACACCTTATCTTCTTCTTTCTCATTCCTTGCCAATTTTACTTCTCGTTTCTACTTATTTTTTAGAATAGTCTTTCTTTCTTTTTCGTCTTATTTTTTGGAACAATCTTCCTTTGTCCAACACCATGGACCACTCTTGGAACACTCTTCCTTTCTACTATAACATAAACTAACTGGTCAATGTTGTGTCATGTAGTCCTCACTCGCGAAAGTCTTGGCAACAGTCAGCGTGTGGACATCCTGTAGAGCATAGTCATTATCCATCTTGGTGAACGCTAGGTCGCCCATGTTGCGAGCGCATGGTGGCTGTTAAAGTTTTTAATTTTGGATCATTTCAGACCTAATCGAAATATGCAATATTTTGGAAATTTTGCATATTTCGGAAATTGTTTCGGACTTTGAGATTTCAAATATCACTTAATTTTAATGACTTCTAACACAATTTAATTTAACTTTGAAATCTGTTTGAATGTACCTCAAAATTTCAGGGTTAAAAATATTTCGGACACCACTGAAATATGTGAAATTTTGAAATTTCACTGAAATATGCCGCTCCATGTTGGCAAGCGGTGCTCGGTCATGTCGTTGAGAGCCTATTTATCGTCCTTGCACACAAGGGCTTTCAAAACGATTCGACGCAGTTAGTAGCTTGCTGAATTAATTAAATACACAAATAATTAATGGCCTACCTAATTCTTCACATGCCTAATTAATTGTCAACTAAATCAATTATCTATCTGACTAATTGGACAAAATTCCCATTTCTAATTATCTTTAGGCATAAATAATTGTCTACCTAATTAATTAATTGCATTAATGATTCGATTTCCAAATTGATTCAGCGTGAATAATTTCCTATTTAAATGGACCTAATGAATTGCATACATAATTAAATCTAGCTAACTACTGTATTAATAGTTTGATTTTCCAAATTGATACAGTGCTCAATTTTCAAAATATTTTCGCATGAATGACTGCTACGAATGACGACGACTTCTACCGAGTATTGTAGGACACGTTTCCTTAATGAATTTCTTGACATTTGCATAGACACATTTGGTTTGAGAATATAGTGTGTCGGGGTCCACAAACGTTTGTACGTGTCGGTCCAGCGACCCACCTTCCGCTACGGCCGTCCTCGACGCCATGATCCACGCCCTGGCATTCTCGAGCATCGCATCAACGTCAGGCCCGGCCACGCCGTATGTCGCGCACGGCGTCCCTCTGCTAGGGCGCGCGGATGCGTACGTCCATAAGAAAAAAGATAAATTATTTTTGTTGTATTAGAAAACTCGTGATTGTAAATTAATAGTTTAGATAATGATAATAATAAATGGCATTGCGCGCGTGATTAGCGATTTGTTATGGAGGAATATCTGATTTTGTTTTGGTACGTTATCGAGAAAAATCTTATGTGTGTCTTTTATGAAGTTGATATCACGTATATGATGCGATTTCTGAATTTTTAATTACTTATTATGTACATGATTGAATTGAATCGGCACCCGCCATAAAAAACATGAAATAAGATTCCATGAATGGGATTTGGGTTTTTTAATGGGAGAGAGAAAAAATCGATGGGTTGCGAGACAAAAAAAAATATCGAACGAAAACAAACCGTAAGGCTAACAACTCCCGCTAGGAGTAGAGATACACACACATATGTAAGCTTCCCATTTCACCATCTTCTTCGTCCAACCTGTATATACGTTCTCCCCTTCCCTTCTCATGTTTGATTTTTCCTTGCATCTTTGGTTTTTCTCCCACCGGCTTTTCTTAAAATAGACTCAATCGTCCTACGTTTTATTAACTTACCAAAATAAAATAATATTTTATTGGGTAAGTCAATAAATTCATACAGTACCAAATACGCGATTAATAATAAGATGGCAGGTAAATCATGACGATTCCATATAAAATCTTTTAAAGATTTTATAACACACTAATAGACGTGCAATCATAGGCTAATCTAGTAGAATGTTTAAACCCCGTCGCAACTCATGGGCAATTATCTTGTTCAATTAAAAAAACCACAAGCGGGGCAATCGGAGGGCTGGCCGGACGACCGATCCATGCACCTGACCGGCCAGCCGGCGCCCAGCTCTTGGCATCAGAAGGGTATTTTGGGAACTCCATTTCCTTTTCCCCGTGTCTTCTCCCCACCCCACCCCACCCCACCGGCCCACGCCGACCACCACAGCGACGCGACCCCCGCACCCGCACCCGCTGCTGCCACTGGACTGGACTGGAGTGGAGCGCACTCCAGTGGAGGCGACCCGAGCAGCTGCGGACCAGGCCCTCCGATCCGCCCGCGCCCGCGCCCGCCGCAGCCCTATGGTCCGGCCGCCCACCGGAGCGCCTCGCCGCCGCAGCAACCCGGTACGTACGCGCCCCGAACCAGGCCTCTCTGCCGCTGGAATCCGCGACGGGCGGCCAGATCCGCGGGGGATCGGCGCTCGAATTTCGCCTAGGGTCGGTCCGTCGGTGGGTCTTCGGCGGGGGAGAGGCGCGATCGCTGCGGCGGGGCGGCATTGGGTCCCCGGGCCGCGCCGTGGGGACGGAGGGAGGCGCGTGTTCCCGAGCGCTCAATTCAAGCTCCGATTTTTCTGCCCAAACCTGTTGCAAACACACCACCACATCTCCAGTTCTCTGTACTCGTTTCGGTTTCCCAGTTCGATAGGAAAACGTCTGTTCTCCCCTCTCCTCCCCTGCTCTTTTGGTAACGGGGGAGCTAATTCTGAAATTAGAGGAAGGCGTAGTTAATAACCAGGAGTTACCATGAGTCGTGGTTAGCATATACAATGCCGATCTTGCTTTGTTGCGTTTCTACATGAGGGGGAAAAACAGGTTTTTCTATGAGTCATCATCATCCTCTATTGCTCCTTGGAGTTTCTTGATTTGGGGATACTCACTAGGCGAACGCATCAGGTGATGTTCGTTCACACGGAAATTGATGTGAATCTTTTTAACTAAAGGGTCTCTACCGATTTAAATCCTAGCAGCTAGTTCTCTTCAGCTGGTGGAACCCGGGAGCTGGTCCTAGTAATCTTTGCGCGAGTGCTGTGCATTCAGATGTTGTCGGTGAACCCTTAGTGTTCATTCGGATTCTTCTGTCTAAGCTGTGGATTATTTTTCTCCATTATGCCAAGCAACTTTGTTTTGTTTGTTGTGATCCAGTAATTTTGTTGTTTCCACCATTCAGCCCAGCGTTCCGCTGCATTATTTTTATTTTATTTATGGTACATGTACGATTTCAGCTGAAATCTGTAATTTTTCTTGGACATATTCATGTTGTAGTGCGGCCAGATTGTTTATTTTGTTACTTTGTTCTTAATTTTTCATATGCAGAAGTAGCTGTGTGTGTTTGTCCCACTCCACATGAAGTTTTCTTGGTCCATGAATTACCCTGGTAGTATCTACATGTCATTATACAACCATTCACTGAAGTGTTTTTGTTGCGCATCGGCAACCTTGCTTTCCTTCTGCTGCTAGTTAGTTTGCACTCCTGGTGGTTGGAGATCTATTAATTTCATGTCAGATATGCGCACCACTGATTCATGGGCCTTCCGCTGACAGATTTGCAATACCGACTTAAGTTCCTTACTTCTGCTGCTTTGATGTTGCAGGTAATAACATGTTCAGTGCTCTGAAGGTTTCAGAGTCATAATTCCGAATCAGCTCAATGACCTCATTTGGTGTCGCACCGGCATCTGGGCTGAGAGATGCTGGTGGTAGTAGTGAAGTGGATAAATTGCCAGATGAAATTAGTAATATGAGAATAAGTGACGAAAAGGTATTATCATGTATTGTTATGGTCTTTCTGTTTCAATGCTAAGTCGTATTTTCTGGAAATTTACACTCGAATTTAATTTGTTCATTGTTGCAGGAAGTAGAGGCAACAATCATCAATGGGAATGGAACAGAAGCTGGTCATATTATAGTCACAACTATCGGAGGCAGAGATGGCCAAAGGAAGCAGGTAGAGATGCAGCTTAATTATTGCTTACTTGACTTAAGGTGTCTAAAGCTTCTGATACTTGCATTCAATTTTGTGAATGGCAGACAATAAGTTACATGGCTGAACGTGTCATTGGTCAAGGATCATTTGGTGTTGTGTTCCAGGTATGTTTGCAAGGGCATTTAGAACTGCTGCTTCTTGACCTTTTTTTGTATAACACATAACTTGAGCATAACAACACAACTTTACTTCTGGCTTGGCAGGCAAAATGTTTGGAGACAAGTGAGACAGTAGCTATCAAGAAGGTCCTTCAGGATAAGAGATACAAGAACCGTGAGTTGCAAATGATGCGTCTACTTGACCATCCAAATGTCGTATCTCTGAAACACTGCTTCTTCTCAACCACTGAAAAGGATGAACTCTTTCTGAATCTTGTGCTTGAGTATGTTCCTGAGACAGTCCACCGTGTCATCAGACACTACAACAAGATGAACCAACGCATGCCACTGATATATGTGAAGCTATATACTTATCAGGTAACCATTAACTTCAGTGCTAGGTTTCCTTTAGCTTGATGTGTGGTGCTGCCTTATTGATGCAACTTGACAAGCAAATAACTTCTGTATTAAATTGCGCATACTGTTTACAAGCAAATAGCTTCTGTATTAAATTGTTTTTGATATTCTCCCCCCGTTCCTTCATACCCAGCGTGTTACTTTTTCTCATTTTTCCCATATTACCCAGCGTGTTAGAATCTGAACAAATGCATGCGCCCCATTTGTACTTTGATTGGAGAGCAAAGTGGCCCAAACCAATGCATGCACTGTAATTTATTTTCCTAGGTATGTGTGCTGAATCTTAGACGCTGGGTAATTAGAAGTGGAGGGAGTAGTTTGGTGTCTCAGAGTATGGATCCTTTTTTGCATTTTCTGTCTTACCTGGTGAACTGGAAAAAAAAGGCATGGGATACTGCCTACTGCTTTCGTACACAGATATTTTTATCTATCCTCATTAATTAGTTCCTATTTTACAGTCTGAATTGCGCTTCCAATATGTCAAACTCCCTACATAGTTCATGTGGACCTGGCTTTACTTTTCTACTGACATATATGAATACCTTTATTTAAATATTAGTTCTCCAGAGTCCAGACTCGAGTCCAGTTACTTTGGATAATTTCCTTATCTATTTGACAGATTTGTAGGGCACTGGCTTATATACATCGCACCGTTGGTGTTTGCCACAGGGACATAAAACCACAGAATCTTCTGGTAAGTTGAAGACATCATTTCCTTTCTGTGAACTTTTTGAGTGGTTCCATGTAGTGTATAAATTATTCCATCTTCTGCAAAAAGGTAGTTGGTGTTTGGACTTCCCCATTCCCCTTCCATTGCCAAATACTCCCTCCGTCCGTAAATACTCGTCGGAGAATGGATGTATCTAGATGTATTTTACTTCTAAATACATTCATTTTTATGCATTTCTTCGGCGAGTATTTCCGGACGGAGGGAGTACCAAAGATCAATGTCTGGTACATCTGTGTTGTCCTATATTGACTAATCTCACATTGCTCTTAACAGTAGTCAACTAGTTACTGTGTTTTGAAATTGCTGTGCATATGATGAAAAGTGCGTACGATTTTTGTACGACGTGATCTCACCCACCCACGGAATTCAACGAACGTCTGCTGACGACTGTCGTATGTAAATCATACAAAATTCGCCGTACGTGTAGCAGGACTCCTGTGATTTCGTTTATGATGATGTTTATCATTCATTTGAAAGTTCAGGATTAGGTCTAAAACACAAAAACTTCTTACCTTCTTAATTTCGTACGCATGCAACCATTAGACGATATATGCTCCAGATGTGCTGACTGCTGCTTCTGATGAACTCTAACATCCGAACTCAATCCACAATCTTACTTACTCCCTCCGTCCCATAATATATGAACGTTCTTATATTATGGGACGGAGGGAGTAGAAGATAATGTCGATCGTCTTAGGCACCTTGATGTATCTGAGGCATTATTTGCAATGTACATCATCATCTTCTCATGCCTCCCTTTGGATTCACAATTTTGCGCTTCTATTTACTAGGTTAACCCACACACTCATCAGCTGAAAATCTGTGATTTTGGAAGTGCAAAAGTTCTGGTAATTACCTTGACCATCCTTGATACTGTTGTATCGAGCCTTCTTGATATTGTTGTATTTGAGCTTAGGATATGCTGTTTAGCATTTTATACATTCTTCTACAGGTGAAAGGCGAACCCAATATATCATACATCTGCTCTAGGTACTATAGGGCACCAGAGCTTATTTTTGGTGCTACTGAGTACACAACAGCAATCGACATCTGGTCTGCTGGATGTGTTCTTGCTGAACTTCTGACAGGACAGGTGAACTTGAAAAATCAGCAGTCCTAATTCTTTTCTTTCTCTTATAAAGAAACACTGAATAAAAACAATCTTGGTCAAGGAGAAATCATGAAGCTCACATTTATATCTCGTCTGATTAACAGCCTCTGTTTCCCGGTGAAAGTGGAGTTGATCAACTTGTTGAAATTATCAAGGTGATTCTACTGCTTATTCTTGCTATCTATTCATACTGGTGTAAGCCATTCGTTCTCAAGTTTGTGATGGTTATTTGTTGTAGATTCTGGGCACACCTACAAGGGAAGAAATAAAATGTATGAACCCGAACTACACAGAGTTCAAGTTTCCCCAAATCAAGGCCCATCCATGGCATAAGGTACGGCTCTCTCGATGCAACCTCGGTGCTTCCAAGTTATTGTGTGGTAAATTTTTTGTTGCTGATATATGACAGTTTTCGCCTAACTGCAGGTGTTCCACAAGCGAATGCCACCTGAAGCAGTGGACCTGGTTTCCAGGCTTCTTCAGTACTCACCGCACCTTCGGTCCTCAGCTGTGAGCACATTCGTACCCCGCAGTTTCCATACATGCAGAACACAGTTGTGTAATCCTAACACCACACTTCGATGTTCATGCAGCTGGACGCTCTGATCCATCCGTTCTTCGACGAGCTCCGGGACCCAAACACCCGCCTCCCCAACGGCCGGTTCCTACCTCCCCTCTTCAACTTCAAGCCTCACGGTAAGCACACAGACACACATCGGTCAGCCACATTACACCAACATCGATCCATCACCGAGTTTCTTACCGTTTCATCTGTTGCGCCCAGCAGAGCTGAAGGGGCTTCCGATGGAGATCGCGGCGAAGCTGGTCCCGGAGCACGCGAGGAGCCAATGCCCCTTCCTAGGGCTGTAGGATCTGATCCGGCCTGCTGGCTACATGTGCGAAAAGGTGCTGTCTGCCATGCTAGCGAATAGCGCTCCTGCCTAGAGGGAGGACTAGGCGTCGGAACAAGTGAACATGATCCATGTGGGTGGTGTCTGTACTGTTGCTTTGGACGGTTTGCGTGTGGTCTTGAACTGCCGGGACGAACGACTGAGCAAGTGAGGATTGCAGTGACAGAAGTGGCTGTGTACGCTTTGATTGATGAATTCCGTTGTAGATGGTGGTGCCATCCACTCTTGTTGAGTTAGGGTGGGCGTCCAAAGACTTATGAGATAACATGAAAATATTCTGCAAAACCGTGAAGTGACTGCGTCTATCATATCGTCAAATTTAATCGGCGTGCGTAGAAGGAAAAAAATTACAGCAGATGAGGCTGTCATATACTCCCTTCGTCCTGAATTACTTGTTACATAAATGAACAAAAATTGATGTATCTAGAACTAAAATACGAGATATATCCAAATCCATTTCTGCGATGAGTAATTCTGAAGGAAGTGAGAGGGAGTACATTTTTCTTGGCGACAAGAATTACTTGTTGCAGAAATGGATAAAAATGGATGCATCTAGAACTAAAATATGATTAGATACATCCATTTCCGTGACAAGTAATTGTGAAGAAAAGGAGAGGGAGTGCATTTTTATTAGAGCTTCTCCAACAGGCACGCCCGCGCGGTAAAATAGTTTTTTAGTGTGCGCGGTCCAGTTTCGCGCGCTCCAGCGGTGGCGACAAACTACTGCGCGCGGAAAGCGTTTGCGTGCGCGTCGCGGGAGAAAGCGACAGTAGGCGTGGTAGATTTGGCGTGCCGCTTTGCGCGCCTAAAAATCCGGCGCTCGCCACACACTCAACCACACTGTCACGCGCCCTTCTCCTCGCCACCTCGCCGATCTTTCTCGCCGCATTCCCCGCCACCACCGTGCCACCATGCCGCCGCGCCGCCGGGGTTCTTCAGGCTACCGCGGCGTCCGCGAGCGCCCGAGCGGCTGGTACTCCGCCGAGATCCGGTCCGACGATGTCCGGCTCGGCATCGGCTCGTTCCGGCCCGCGCACGAGGCGGCCCGCGCGTACGACGTGCCGGCGTGGCGCTTGGAGAGGCCCCCGTCGTAGATGAACTTTCGGGACGTCTTCACGCGCGAGCAGGCGCAACGCCTTGCCCCTCCGCCTCGTCTCATCACCGACCAGGACCGTGCGGACCACGTTTGGCAGCAGCGCCGCCTCCTCATCGCAGAGGAGGACGAGCGAGCCATTGCGGAGTGGGTCGCCGCCTGGAGGACGTTGCCGCCGAGAACGCCTTCTGGGCAGAGAGGACGACAAGGCGTCGGCGCAAGGCACTGGCCTTATCGCAGTGCGATATCGTCGAGAACAGTCGGTAGTCGATCTTCTCCCCCAACGATGTGCGTTGGGATGACATGTGGCTCGATACCTCGGACAACACCATCGAGGATGATGATGGTGATGATGATGATGATGGCTGGGAGTCACCGTAGTTTTTCTCGTTGCACCGTAGTTTTATCTATCTAGTTGCACCGTAGTTTTATCTATCTATGCTTTCAAACTATGTAAAATATCTTTGTATCTTTTTTAATCTATGCTATGAATTATGTATCTTTTTTTATCTATGCAAAGTTTATTTAAAGAAAATGTTGTGTGAGAGCGCGCGCTGCATTTTAGCGTGCCTGTTGGACCTACGCGCGCTGCATTTTAGCGCGGCCGCTGGAGCCAGCGCTGCGCGCCGCGCCAAACCTGACGAAGGGCGCGCCGTAAACCGAAATTTAGCGCGCCAGTAATTCTGAAGGGAGGGAGAGAGAGTACGCTTTTCTCGGTACATACGCTGTAGGCCCTAGCAACAGGCTACACATGTGCGCAGATAAGAACGCACGGAAGGCGCCACCGTGTATCTGGCTGGTTGATTGCCTGGTAAGACTCAAGAGTGATTGCCCAGTACAAAGCTCTTCTGGCGCCAATAATAATAATAGACCTCAATGTTACTAATTGCTTATGATTTTGCCAAAAGATGGGTACAGTTCAGTGATGACTAGATGCAAAAGATGGCTGAATGTCAGACCGTGCACATGTCGAAGATTGAGGCTGCAGGTGTTTGAAGTTCAGTTATCCACTCCGTTTTGAAAAAAAAAAAGCTCAGTTATCCTACGGCCACGATGTACTCACTTCAACGGCTGAGATCTTCCGGTACCGATTCATCTTGTAACAGTACCATCCTTCCTAGGGCTATAAAATGCTCGCCTCCGCTGCTGCGTCTGCTAACCCCCTTTGTCAAATCATAACAATAGTACACTCCATGATACTCGATGTTCCTCTGCTCAATACAAATATCTGTGAGTGAGTTGGGAGATAATCTTCATCTGTTGTTCCTTTGTGAGTGATTAATCATGTCGATCCCTTTTGGGACCCGACACTGATTAACTTCAAGAGCTGCACCGCAAAGTATGTCCAGGAACCTGAAACTACCTACTTGCATCAATATTAATCGATTGATGTGGGGACTGACATAGGGAAGGCGAACTCCATTAGGATTCAAGAGCTGCATGGATAAATGTTAGTTTTTTTCAGTGTGATACATAGTCGGTAGGTAACTGAAATTTACCCCAGAGTAAACCCAGAGTTGCAAAACATACCCTCACGCAAAGACAAAGTTTGATTGATATAATCTACAGTAACACAATGGAGATTGAGAGAAGTGCTTTTTTTTTTTGGCGGGGAGAGAAGTGCATATTTCAACCATGAACTGTATGGTCAGCTAAATTTACAACCATGAACTACAAAACCGGTTAGGACACAACCTCGAACTATCAACAGCAGTTACCCCCACCCCCACACACACAGATTGGAGGATGATTTTGCATGATGTGGCATCTACATTGACTTTTCAAAGCTGATGTAAATTAAACCGACCCTAGAGAAATCTAAGACAAGAATTTTGGGACGGAGGGAGTATACAGTAACACAATGGAGATGTCGTGGGTCGATGAATGGAAAACAAAATAGAAAATTCATAACTGAAGAGCACATACCCTCATGCAAAGATAAGGTTGATATAAAGGTGTTGAAAATTGAGAGAAGTGTTTTTTTTTTGCAGGGAGAGAAGTGCATATTTCAACCATGAACTCTATGGTCAGCTAAATTTACAACCATGAACTACAAAACCGGTTAGGACACAACCTCGAACTATCAATACC